AGATTTGGCACCTGATTCCTTGGAAGACGGAGCTAACAAGAACATATTCTTTCATTTCTGATCCTAAAATTCCCTTTTATGGTCCTTAAATTTCCTTTTGACATAAGGTCCAGTGCTGTGGACCCTTGCCACAGCTTCTCTCCAGGTGGCTAAACATTAGTGAGCAGCCTATCCTCTGTAGCCTGGCTGTTGTGTTGCAGCTCATTAACTAGGCAATAAACATTACAGACACCGCTGTTTCATCTGCCTTCCCCCTCATTAGGATAACACTATGCATAGCATTACTTTTCCACTAGAACCATATAGAAAACTTCCTAGGAATTAATTTCACTATTATTCCATACCAAGCCTAGATAGAAATAAACTTTCACCTCTGGCCCACAGAGACACATACAATCATCACTTTTAGACACTCAGCACCAACTACTACAAAAGCAAAGTTAATATATTATATATATTTTTAGTGGAACAGTGAGGTGGTAGAAAAGGTGGCATTAAAGTTCTTTAATGTACTTTGACAGCTAAAGCACTATAACTTAACGCTTGGTTAAGAATGAAAGCCCTGGGGCTGGAGAGATGGCCCAGCTGTTAAAGGCTAGACTCACAACCAAAAACATCAAAATGAAAGCCCTGGAGTCAGACAGCGGGGCTCAGACAGACCTGCTTTCCTGTGCAGCATATAGAAAGTTACATAATTTCAACAAAATGAAACTTCTTCTTCTACAAAATAGGAATTTGCTAGGTTCCAAAGAAAGCAAACTATATAAAGCAGGGTGAAAAATATCTGTAACACAGGAGAGGACCTGTTAGCCTACTATCTTCCCTATCTCTGCCTCCACAGCACTTATCAAAGAACACACACATCACAGATTACCTTGTACACACACCTCTAGGTAAGACATGTGTCTGGAGAAAGGGTTACTAACTACAGTAAGCACAAACACACCATGTAGTGAAACTCCTGGAAAGAAGGGGTAGCTTGCATCCCAGAACCTAAATCCAAACTCCTTCACCTTATCAATTCAAACCCCTTTTATGGATCTTTTTCCATTGTGTGTGTCTATATTTCATTGCCTAGCTGTGGAGCACCTTGGATTCTACCAAATGATTTGAGTATAAGGAATGTTGAGTTCAGTCTTTCCAAACCAAGAATAGGTAAGCTAGATTTGAGGCAGTGATGAGCAAGTTTCACAGAACAACCTCTAAGAAAGTATCCCAAGCCTGCTACGGGGCAGTGTTTACCCGGCAGACACCAGGGGGTAGCAATATCTCATTCTCTTGGCTCCTGGTCACTAATTACAAGGAAACTGGCTAGTCTAGCTTGGCTGGAAGGTTAGAAAGAGCTCCATCTCTGTGGTTCTAGCCTATGGGTCACAGGGTTCCCTTGCTGCGATACATTAACCCTATGAACAAGAGGGCTCTTCCCATCCCTATGAATTAAGTTTCTCCCTTCTCCAGACACAGCAGAAAAGGCAGAGTTTCTCCTGCGGCGAGAGGTATCACTTGTCACTGAGGCCCTTCCCTCTCCTGATGTTGCCCGGGCTTCGTCGTCTCAGCCTCATAGGACTGTATCCACACTGCACATCTAAATAAACTTCACCCTCAACGTGACAACGCCTTCATGCCCTCTGAGAAGTGGGTAGCTTTCAGATCGCTTCCCAAACTTCCTCTTTAGGACCAGTCCGCTGTGACTCAGAGGAGTGCAGGGCAATCCCTTGATGTGCTGAGGTCCCCCAAGCCCTTCTTGGAGATCCCACCAGGCCTTCATTCCCACGCAGAAGCTATACTCGCAGTTTGGCAGTTTGTTGGTGGGACAGAAAGGCTGAGGATAGAACTTTTTAAAGGAACCTAGCTCCTTTTGTCTGCAGTGTAAGATAATAGTCACCGCCGAGAGCCCTAGTGGTGGTGGGCCACTGTCGCCCTGCAACAAGAAAGATCTAGCTAGCATCAGTACCAAAGCCTGGGGTCCAATCCAGGAGTTGCTGCTTCCCTTCCTCTAACGGAAAAGCAACAGGGGGATAAGGTTCAGAAAAAGGCAGCGAGGAGCAACTCCGAAAATGTTCTTAGACCTTACAGAAGGATCCTGATCCCGGGGCATGACACCCCACCCCCCATGCCAAGCCTTTACTTCTCCGTAATTCCCCCCATCCCCCGCCTTCCCCAGTCAGCACACAGGAGACCATTGTAGTTGCCTGCAGGCTCGAGACCCAAGAAGGTAGAAGGGGAAGAAGGGCGGGCAATCTCCCAAGACTTGGGGGAATCCCCAACTTTCTCTGCCTCCAGCTCTACCTCAAGGATACAGTGTGGGTCGATCTGGGCCCCAGGACCTTGCCAAGCCTGGCCACGGACGAGAGGGAGAAGCGTCATGAGTCTTAGAGATCGAAGACGGCTTCTGGGCGCCC